ATATATGGACCAGATCTACACAGCGTTTTTTGTAATAAACTAACATTTATTAATTTTAATACAAGCTTAATAATGAAAATGTTACATTATAGATAGGTAAATTAATTCTATAATATTAAAAAATGGAAATTATTTCTTTTGTATTGAATAAGTGATCATCTAAGAAAAAGAATAATTTGATTCTATTCAGAACTCATCCCCTGGTGTGTATGTTTTATGCCATTCCTAAACTGAAAAGAAATCCAATGTAAGTGGTCTTCTGGGGTAGCACAGCCGAATGGCTCTCTCGTGGAAAGCTTTCTGGTTTGCTTCTGAGATGCAGTGGTGGTTCTTCCTGATCTGTAAGAAATAACATTTGCTTTTTAGCCCTTTGATAGTCTTTTTCCTACAAGGTGAATGTTGGATAATTCTATTTTGAGGGTTAGGCTACAACTTAAGCATTTTGAGGAAAGCTTCTCCTGCAGCTGTATGATGTTATTGGAGGCTTGGTCTGTAAAGTGAGAGAGGGTAACCTATTTCAACTTGTTTCACTCTAGATATTCAATTCTGTCAGAAACTTCTTTAAAATCAAAGCTGAGTAAGGATGGGAATCAGGCCCAAGATTGTGTGTTTATGGATTACGTGCAGAAGATGTAATTGAGACAGTAACAAAGAACCTTTGACAACATCATTGCTGTGGATGCCAAGTGACTGAAGAACTCTTTGCCTTTCAAAACTTCTCATCTCCAAATTTTGTGATACGAACTTCATGTTAATGTTAAAAATACAGAAGTTAGAATTTAGCTGGCTTTGTAACTGTATTGGTAGGATTTGGTTTTCCATTACTGTAGTGAATTTCTAGAGGAGGATTTTGTATGATAACTCTTTTGTTGCACAAGACTTCATTTTTTAATTCTAAGGACTTTTTTTGGCACAAAAAATTGATTAGACTGCCAGGTATTTGTACACACCAAACAGTCACTGAACACAATACAGATGGTAATAACTTTTCGCTAATGTGAAAAGAATGTTTTATTTAAGATCTGGAAGGATTACTGAAACTGACTGATCTACTACTCCTCTGAAGGAAGTGTAGACAAGAAAATAGTTACTGAAATGGTAAAAGACTAGGTATTTCTAGTGGCTCTGTGAATTTCTGTTCAATCATCAAGAGCACTAGTAGTTTTGTTTTGTTTGTACTTATCCCCTATTAATTTATAGTAGTGACCAAATGGGCTAAATTCACAATTTAATGGGCCATTCAGCTCTGTATTTTGAGTTATGGCTGGTGTTCAGTTTCATTTAATGGTAAAATCAGAAGCAGATGTGGATATTCTTGTCAAAGAAACAGGTTCTCAGGATCCTTTAAACTTACTAGTACCATTTAGAGGGCTTTTAAACTGTATTTATTGAAGAACCTGACAGTTTATGAAGGGACTGCAAAGCCTTGTCATGAAAAAGCGTCATCTTTATGTAGATACAGTCCATGAAGTTGTCAGGGGCTGATGAACAATCTCTGTGTGTACTTACAAGTTTAGGCGTTGAACAAGTTTAGGGGTTGAACAAACATTTTAAAATATATGAACTTTCTGTTCAGGGAAAAAACAGTTTTCAAAACTGCTTTCTGGAGAGGGAAGGAGAGAGAGGTTTCTCAGAATGCTTGTAATTCAGAGTTAGAGAAAACAAAAATTATGTGAAACGTTGCACAAATATTTCAGAGAAGAAGCATGGAGACTGATACTTGGATTGTCAGCAGCTCTGACAGGATGGTGACCTGTCCTCTTGTCCTCACAAAAGGAAATAAAATACTAAGTAGACCAAGGGACATACACAAATTATTTCAAAACAGACTTTTGTCTCCTCCCCCCATCTCCTCCCTGCCCCCCCACCCCACCATGCTGAATGTTTCTTTCCGTCCCTTGTTTTCCTCTGTTTTTATACAGCAGGGATTCTGTGTCTACAGTTACAGCTGCAAGACATGAGGGCCAAGCTGGTCAGTTGCTTTGTTTTGTTTTGATTTCTAGGGGCAATATGTAGCAATCCTCTCTGTTTGTCTGTCTGTTTCTCTACTCAGATTCCCTGGTGCCTGAATATTCAAGTCTTCTGGGTAGCAGGAGGACAGCTTCATGCTCTTACCTGTTGGCTCAATTCATGTTTGTGTGACAGAAGTGCTGTCTTGAAGAGGTGGCTGCCCTTTGATATGCAGAGGACAGAAGAGATGTTGGCTCTTGCCTTATCAGAAGGTCATGTAGCCAAGACATATTTTCCCCTCAAAAACAGTTATTTTCTCCTCAAAGATGGTATTTTACTGATGCTTTCCGCTTACTCAAACCCACGTATTTTAAAAGGTCTTGCTAAGCAATTTTTCGTGAGACCAGGAACTTTCTTGGTTACATGGAAAGTCATGGAGGATTTGTGTTTCAGGAGTTTCAGAGGAGATTTGTAGCAGTCTAATTTTGTAAAACAAAAATCCCTGCTTATTTGCTAGTCAGAATTAAATAGCCCTGAGATATCTGTAGTCCTGTCTAGGCTACTGGGGCCCAAGCTCATTTGTTCACTGGCCCTGAAGACTTTTCTCTGTGTTTAGGGAAAACATGGAACTTTGATTGTTGCTGATTATGAGCATTAATTGCTGAAGAACCAGGGCAATGTGGAATGCTGTCCCCTACCTTCATCTGCAAAGCGTGTGAAGCTTTCTGTTATGCATTGAGGGAAATGGTGCTGGAGGATACTACAGAAATTGCCATTCTTCCAAAACTGAGCTTTGTTCCCCCTTCTGTACATGTTATGACACAATCACGAGTTGAAATCACATTCTGCTAGAGCAATCTGGGTGTAGGTGGGATCTTCAGAGAATTGCACTGGCAATCTCCATTATGTCTCTTCACCCTGTGTAAGTTGTGGTTTCTTCCTCGGTTAGGAACATTCCACAACTTGCATGTATTTGGGGCATATTTTTCCACCTTTATTATGAGATTTGCAGATTGAAATTTCTTTTTTCAAAGCTCAGAGATGCTACAGTTGCCAAAACCAAGTGAGTGAGGATGGAACATATGTTTTCCTTGTCCTGTTTTTCAGAAAAAGGGCCATTTTTACTGAAATAGCTTTAGACAAACATCCTGAGTGGAGAATATCAGCCTGAATACTTAAGAAGTTGGATAGAAGTTTAAGTTGCCTATATTCTGTTTTAAAATAGCACAGTTAATGCTAAATATGTTAATTATACATGTTAATTATAAATAACACTACCATCTCTGCCTGCAGTCACTTGTCTTAGAGCATCAGTTTCAGAATGCATTTTGAAATTAGGCATTTGTACATTTTTCCTACTGTTTGTCTTCATGTTGCCCTTTCTCTTGTCTTTTTTTTCCTGATTCTTTTCATTCTACTTTCCCACTTCATTCTGGTTTTCCACTTATAACTTAAGCAATATGAGGAGCAATAAGTTTGATTTGTGAAGGGTATTATTGTCTGCAAGAGAATTTGGTTTCACTCCCTTTGGGCTTTGCAAACAAGTAATAATAAAATCAAGCCCAACAGTCAAACATGGCTTGGCAGTCTCTCAGACCACAGTGCCAATGGTATGTGCTTTGATTTATGGGGTGTGTGCTTGTTTTGCGTAGCATCTACCTGAAGTCAGTGAACTGACAAATCAAAATCCAGTTGTCCTAAAATGTGGCCTGGCTTTCTGGGTAGGGGTATAAAAACTCTGCAGGTTATTTAGGCTGGCCTAGCTAGTAAGCTTTTGGATGACCTGAAAGCTGGACGAATTTGCTTCATAAGACTTACATAAAGATTTTGTAATAAAACAGCTCAGCTTGGTTAATCTTTGGCTTTGGAATCTGTGCTTTTTAAGAGTGTCTTAATCATATTAACCTACTTGTCATACAATGACAGTGTCTTTTGGAGTATCATTCAAAGGTCTATTAAATGTGGTCTTTTGCATTAATTGTAGCGTGGTACAATCTATTATTGAAACAAACATGGTCATAATTTGTCTACTACCACAATGAAAGTCTATATCTAATTCTTTCTACATAAGTTCCCAGGGGATGGAGAAAATATTTCTTCAGAATCTCCTGCTTTAGGGTTGTGGACAGCACCTGGCCACAAATAGGAAGTTGGTAGTCATCCTTTATTTACTCACTCTCTGACAGACAGTGGCTGATCATCAGCATGGCAACTCCATAGGGTGGCTTCTCGTCCATGGCACATTGGCATCACATTTTTGCTGGTGCTCTGCCTGTCTCCCAAAAACTGAAACTACTTGGAGAGTAACTGGCCCTAGCACATTGTCAGTCTGGAAAGCTGAAATGGGCAGGATTCTCAGGCAGTACTGAGGAGTATCACAAATGCTTTGTGTGGAGTATTATTAGGAGGAGCAAGCAGCAGGGTAGAAGGGACTACAGGCATTTTTAAGGCCACAATGGACAATCTAAAGTAGCAAACTGTTGAAAAGGAGGAAATCATCATTCAACAAATGAAGGAACATTTGGGACAAATGGGGAATTTTATGCTGGGTTTAAAATAACCAACAGTCCAAATACTTGTTAGGAGAAGCCTTACAATAAATCGGTAGTAGGGTTTATAGTTTAGTGGATCAAAACATAATATTGCATTAAAATATGTTAGATTGTATTTTGGGTCTTGCACAAGATTTTCAATGTTTGTAGTACCTATTTAAACTTCAGTCTGAACAAAGTTACTTAAACTCTGGTCAGAATCATTGCTGAGTCTGATGCATGGGTGACTTAATCAGCATGAAAAGTGTCTCATTTCTTATCATGTCATGATTTCTGTGGTTGTGTAAACTGTGAGCACCTAAAGTGTGACTCGGGTTGGCCTTGTTCAACCACAGGCTGTACATGCAGGTGTTTGACCTCTGTTTTAGTGGGTGATCTTGCAGGGGCCTTATTAGCTGTATAATTCAAATAAAAGGAGCCATATAATGGAGGAAGCAGTGTACTGATCTACCACTGTTAACCCTTTGCTGAGGTGTGCAATCTCATTTTCTCTTCCAGCAAATATTACGGCATGCCCGTGGAAATGCTACGAAAGTGATATTTCTCATTACTGATGGCTATTCCAATGGGGGAGACCCGAGACCCATTGCAGCATCCTTGCGTGAACTTGGAGTGGAGATCTTCACCTTTGGGATATGGCAGGGGAACATCCGAGAGCTGAATGATATGGCATCCCACCCAAAAGAAGATCACTGTTACCTTCTTCACAGTTTTACAGAGTTTGAGGCTCTGGCACGCAGAGCCCTTCATGAAGGTATTAATGTCCTAAACTCAGAAATCTACAGGAGACAGAGAGGTCTGAATACAAAGCTCTCCAGTACTGACTTGTATTATTATATACACACTTCATGTAGTGTTGATTCCCTTTTTATTTTTCTCATACTTTCTAGCTGAGGTGTTCATCCCTCAGTTAATAGGATAAACTTTATTTGGCTTTACTTTTTGCCAAAAAGATGTGAGCAAAAATCTCCTCACTGAAGTGTATACATACTTACATCCATTCAGCTTTTCATTTTGTCTGTGAAGAACAGACTGTGCTCTTGGCCCAGTGTATCTTGTGCTTGAACAGATGAACCTTGTAGTCAGGTACAAGAGGCGCCTTAGAACTAGACTCAATACCTTTAGGGTGTCTCATGCAGTAACAACAGCCTGTTCAGGGCTAATCTAGATCCCTCTGTGTGAGAGTTAATACAATTTGTGTTTATGACCTTATACATGCAGTAAAACTGGAAAGAGGAAGAGGTGAAAAGAGAGTTTGGACTGCGATTCCTCTTTTAATCTGCTATGTGCTAAAATAAAAGCTTTTTCTGAAAAATAGGGTAGGTTTACACAAGCAAGTGAGAACACATGATTAAACATTTGTTTGACAATGCTGCTTGATTGAAGCTTAGAACAGGCATCAGACTAGCCATTTGAATTTATTTGCTATAATTTTTAGAAACACGCTACTTTAAAATAACAGTGTAAAATAAGGTTTTCTCATGCTTTGTTGCCAGCCTGTTTGTTCCAGGTAAGTTTGGATTGGTCTATATGAATGTGCCAAAGCTTTTTATTTTATAATATGACCAAATGGTTTTACATGCCATGACCGAATGTTCCTCTGCTGCCAAATAAGGCATCCACCAAAGCTGGGAAAAGCTGTCTCAACAGCTTCTGTTGGGAATGAGACTGCATTCTGGCAGTGTCTAAGACTCAAACAGAGAGAAAATCTGAATGCACCATGGATTTCAGTGAGCCCTTTTCCAGAATAAGGACACCAGTCTTTGCATGTTGAGCATAGCAAGGCTCTGCTTCATACTGGCATCTCTGCTACTTAGAACTGCAGCCTAGGGTTTTTAACAAATGTTTCACCAGTGGTAAAATGTGAGACTATGGGATAACTTTTGTTTGAATTTTTTGTTAATAAATTGATACTATTTCAGACCTGCCGTCTGGTAGCTATATCCAAGAAGATATATCGCATTGTTCATACCTGTGCGAGGCAAACGAAAACTGCTGTGACATCATGGCAAGCTGTAAATGTGGCACCCACACTGGCCAGTTCGAGTGTATCTGTGAAAAAGGGTACTACGGGAAAGGACTACAGCATGAGTGTACAGGTGAGTCACATGTCTCGGTTTCTGGGTTTCTCTGTATGCTCTGAGTACGTGGATAATCTGAGAGCTAAAAGATCTGTTTGGGTGTATGGCTATGAACCTGGGTCAGAATGCACCCAAAGTTGCTGGAAAACTCTCTGGCTGAAGATATAGTATAGCTGTAGCAGTCAAACACACCTCCTACCTTGTCTTCAGCAATAGCTCAAAGGGATGCGCAGGAGCAAGGTAAGAATAGGGCAAATTCTGACAAAGTAAAGCTTTCCTAAAACACAGCACACAGGAAATTTGAGACTATGAGTTTACCAAGTCTGAGGTAATGTCTTTTGCTCTCAAGTGCTCATGGTACATTTTTCCCTCATAGGTTTTGCTGAGCACTTCTTGAATTTTCATAAACTCTGGTGTTCAGAGAGCGGCTTTATATGTGGATCTCTGCCGATAAATTCTGGGTGAAACAGTTGTGTAAATGTATTTTAATTCTCTCATGATGTCTTCCAATTAACTATAGAGGAAGAAAACATTTGAGTCACTAAACAGAGATGAGTCATTGTGACATTTTGTTAATACTGGTTTTGTTAATTAGTAAGATATTGAACAAAATACATACAGCATTTCTGCCTTTTTCAGTAGTTTGCATCACTAAATATTGTTTTGAGCAATTCCTAAAGACAGCAGGACTATCACGGTAGAGTTGCCCTTTCTTTGTGAAAGGGTCTTTTGACAAGGTAAGCACACCTTTCAAGTGCCACCAAAAATGGTAAAAATCAGAATTTTTAAAATGGGCACTTTGCAGCTGCAGACAAAAGTTTCATTTTTGCTTCCTTGTTACATGCTTCTGAAATAAATTTGTAGAATGGTCTGATATTAGATACTCTGTGAGTAAGCTGATGATTGCAGCCATCTGCTGTGTATATAATGGTAATTGAAGTTGCATACATGTATTTTAGGGAGAAATTGACCTGAGTAACTCAAACCTTTTCTTTATGTATGCTCTGTTCAATTCTTGTGTTTTTCAAGACGGAAAAAAAAAGACAATATGTGTTCTTTAAAGGAAAAACAGCCTATTTTGAAATCTTTTATTCAGAAAAGGATTCCAACCTTTTTTTTAACATCTCACATCTGAGCATAGCTGTGGATTTGTAAAGCATAAGGAATCTTAAGAATGTGTCTTAACTTTTCCTCACTCTATAATGTGCAGGACAATTTGTGGCAAGTTTACAGTGACAGGACTTCAATTTTAATTGGACTATTTTTAGGACTTTTTGGCAAAACTTGAAGATATTCCACTAGCCTAACACCCTAATACAGTAAGGTTTTTTTAAAAGAATTTAAATTAAGAGGGAAATCGCTTTTCTTTGTAGTATCTGTTATTTTTGCTATTATGTTTATTTTCTGTGATTATTTTCTGTATGCTGTGCTTTTAATTATACCACTTTACTGTTGTTTATGGTTTTAAATGTGAGGCATCAGAATAGCACATAAAAATCCTTACAGTTTTTTATTTTCATAATTACCAGAAAAAACTCTGGAAATCTTCTGTAAAATAAAATAGGAGCCATGTGCTTTGTGCTGGAAAGCAGAAATTCAGTGTCCCACTCCCACTCTTTGTAGTATTGTTGATGATGTGCCACTAAAGGAAGAACAGACTGACTGTTCTCTTCTTTAAAAAGCAAACCAAACAAAACTTCTTGGCCTGCACTGGGAACTTCATGTGGCCAGAGATATCTGTGCTGATTGTGGCAAAGGAAGGGAGTGAGAGGGAAAACGGAGGCAGGATTGTAACCAGTTCCCAAGTATTGCAGAGTGCATAAACACCTCCTCTTCAGTAACTCTTCACTTCTCCTTCTTCTCCTTGATTACAAATGTTGAGGTTCAGACTAGAGACAACCAAAGAAAAATACAGAAGGCAGCAAAAATAAATCTTGTGACTTTTCATTAGGACTCTTTATTACATTTCATCACTAAAAGGTGAGTTGTTTAAACCCACTGCACCTTTCATAGGAGAGTAAACAAAAATTCAGATCTCCATTTGTATTTTCTTCTCCCTCTTACAAGGATATGTCTTTCACATGGCATTTTCACATTTTTTTTTCAGTAAGGCTCTCCTTGGAAAGTTCTGTTTCAAGAGACCTCTTGGGTTGGATGACCTTCTAGGTTCAAGATTATGCAACTAAAGATAGTACCCATTATGTTCACCTCATCAGTTGCTCCTAAGCAGAGCCACAGTTATTGGGGAGGTTAGGAAACTCTTGTCCTACAACCCCTAGCTTCTTTTGTCTAACATGTAGGTCCCATGTTTTGCAGCACAAGGTATTCATAAAGATGATATGCAGCTCACAGGGCAGAATAAATGGCTTAATTCCTTGTAGTCTAGGCCGGTTATTCATTCTTTTGTTTATATTTAGCTCACTGCTTGGGTATAATTATTGAATTCCACCATCCGCATGAATATTTAATAGCTTGCCTAAGCTTTTATTTAGGAACATGCAGCATATCAGTAATCATATGCACAGCTACTAGGGCAACAGTCTTGGCTTCAAAACACCACATGGATTAGATTTCTAAAGAGCCTTTCCAATGAAACATGAAAACATGAAGACTAAACTTTTTTTTTCTTTTTTTTTTTACAAATATTAATTCAAAACACATTACTGAAAAGACTTTAAACTGAGGATATGTAGGTCCAGCAAGGCAGGGAAGATTTGAATTTTGTGGTTTCTTGGACTGTGGACCTAATTTTTATCCAAGCATTTTTTCCATGAGATTTTCAGGATTGTTCCTGTTGAGAATACAAAACCAAACCCAGTGTTCATAAATTGGATACCTTTCTTGTTAGAAAAAAACTTCTGAGTTTACTACAGTACTTGCAGTTCTTTCCTTAGTCACACAGAGGAAGAACTTTAATTCCAGTGGTGAGTCCAACCATCTAGTCAGAGGAAAGTAAATATTTCTTCTGCCTTGCTGGCTCCTTCCTCCCTTCCTTTTGAGAGGAGCTTCCACTCCCCAGAAGCTGAATCACCCTTTCTCAATATTTCTCTATGGGAAGCATTTCTTTAGCTACCCTGGAGGAGTAACTGACTAAATGAAGCTTTGCCAGCCATCTTGGAACTTGGCAGATGGTACTTGGAAATTCTCACTAAGTTTTCAAGATTCCTCCAAGTCCCAAGGCTTCCAGAGTTAACAACACATATAACAACATATGCTATACTCTTCAGCAGGTGCCTACCATGGATCTGGAGGAGAACCACCGACAGTACTCTGAGATTCTGACAGACAGGGAGGGAAAAGAAAGCAAGAAAGGGAGTGTGTGTGAAAAAGCGTGTAGAAAATGTCTTCAGGCATAGTAAGATCTCAGGTTAAATTTGCCTGTTGAATCTGAAGATTTGAATTATTTCATGGAACTGCAGATTTGCAAGCCCTTAGAACTTAGCTTCTTGCTGTCTCACAAAGCAGTGCTGTTTTAGGCTTTCATTCATTGATTCTGCATCTTAAAACTGGGTGGGAGTTTGTTTTGATTCCGCCTTGGCTTTAATTTCTAAATCAGAAAAAGTACTCTTCATTTCTAACTCAGCTGTCACTAAAAGAGGGCTCCTTGTAAGACCTGCAGCCACTGAAAACTAACAAATGGAAAAAGGGGCATTTCTTTGAAGAAAGTGTCAAATGGCTGCTAGTATGGCATTTTGTGTCACATAACCCTGCAGATCTTGATATACCAAAACAAGAAAGCAAACAAAAATTTTACTTTAAACTATTTCAAATAATTTGGATTACAACTGTGCAAGGAAGTTGGGATGTATATGCTTAATGAAGCAATAATGAAATGCTTTCAAAACCTGAGCAGTTTGGAAAGACTTAGGAGTTAGACTCACCTGCGCTAGAGACAGAAAATCCTTAATGGAGAGACCTTTCTCTGAGTACAACCTGTGTCAACCTGTGATTCACCCCTTTTACTAAACAGCTCTTTAATTAGGATCCCATTTCTGTAACCTAATGGATCTCCGGTTGGGATATGTTTGTATACTTTATTATTTGTACTTTAGTCTTCTTTTCTTACAGAGTGACTTTTGATCTGTGATAATACTCAGAGGTTCTATTGTGAATATGCTGTGTCAAAATGACTGGCTGTCACGTAAGGAGGAGGGAGCTAAACTAAGAGAAAGGATGCAAAATGCCTGTAACTAAGTAAGCCTGAATTGATGCCAAATTAATACTGGCAAAAATATTCCTTGCTGCCATTCTGTATATGTTTTTCTGTTTTTTATAAATCTTGTGACTCTTTTTGGGTAAGAGTTTCAGGAAACATCGTGATGGTTAAACACAAAAGAAATGTAAATGTGTTTTTCTAGTGAGGGTAGCATAATGTCATGATGGGTGAGTACAGGAGAAATGTAAATCAGTTTTCCAGTGGTTTTCCATTGCCAGTACTGGAAGACAAGTGGATGAGAAAGGTGGATATAAAAAACCTTTATAGACATGGATATGGAAGTTTAGTAGGTTAATTATCTTTTAAAAAGTCTTTTAATTCTTAAAACTATAATATAAAAACATTAATAATTATTGTTTTTGTGAAGACTGAAGAAAATGGCTTTTACAAGTGTTTTGTGTTCAAAATAAATGCAGCTGGAAGCATACAGATGTGCTGCTCCAGATTTTTTACATTTAAATCTGCTTTCTTAAAACTTAATCCCATTAAGTCCAGTATTGCATGCTTTGCTTCTGGAAATTAGGTAGACGTTCTCCTGCTTGTTGCTATAGAAAGGAAAGCAAGGCTGAGGGAAGAACTTAATTGGATGCTGCAAGATTTTTTGAAATTTAGCACAGAGCAGAGAAAAATTTCCTTTGGTTTGAGAATTTAAAAGTATATTGCCAGAACATTCTTCATATCAGGAATGGATTTTGGTTGGGTTTTTTGTATTTTTTTGTTTTATATGAGTGATTGATAAAGATGAAGGTTGCTGCATGATCCCAGAGTAGCTTTGCTGTTGTTTTAAGTGACTTCTGACACC